GGCTCATTTCGGTGATTGCGCCGCTATGGTTTAATAAAGCAACACCAAGGCGACGGCGGGGAGGACAATTACTTGGAATTGCGTGAAGAAATGGCAGCCATTCCGGAGAGTTTAGCAGCAGTGTGCAATGGACCTCGTACAATAAAGCAACTTACCGGCACAATTGGCAGCCGCAGCCAGAAATAAAAAGTGGGATTACAAAAAAAAGTAGCATAAGCAAAAGGCGCACAAAAACTTAAAAGTGAAATGAAGTGTGAAGCGGCGTTGCTCGCATAAAATTCTGCTTTGGCCAGGCACACAATTTGTACTTCTATTCGGTTTGAGGTCTTTCAGGTGCGTATAAGAGTGTATGTAATTGTTTTCGGTGTGTTTGCTTAGCTTAATTAAAATGCGCAGCGCAAACACCAAAGTGTACTTAGCCCAGGCCACAAAAATGGAATTTATATATATATTAGCATATATATAGAAATATATATATATATTTTTATCTTATTTTTCCGCTCTCATTCCCAGTTTCTTTTTTGCCTTTAAATTGCCCTGGAGCTGACCACGTGATAGGTCATTCATTCGTTCCCAATTGGCAATGCTTAGATGCTCAGGTTAATACATAAAATAATATATATTTTCACTTGCTTTTAATTAAACAAACTATATAATCAAACCTTGTTAACAGTAACGTATTTATTTAGTCTGCTGAACACACCTGGAGTATGTTTGAACTAAAATCTAAAGGCCACATATTTTTCCTGAGTCAATAAATATCGCATTATTTAAATTTTTTAAATTGAACTCCTATTTCAGAATTTATAAGTTTAGCGTCACCTAAAACCCGAATACTTTCTTAAAGCTTATTTATTTTAACATTTTTTAGCTGACAACGGGTATCTAATAGTCGGGTACTCGACTAGTGCTCCATCTTGTTTTACTCTTCATCTGAATATTACATTTACAGTGTTCACAACTTGAGCTAGGAGATAGTTTTATAGTTTTATTACTCACATCAAAATATAATTTAAATCAATTATGAATTTCAATTACATTCAATTACACGGATGGAATTTCATTTAGTTTGCTGTGTAAGTATAAGTACTATTCTAAAAGCAGTTATGCTCGGATAAGCCAATTATTGGGGGCAAAATTCCATATTTATTAATTAAGGATATTGCAAATATATTTTATATTTGATTGGCCAAAAGAATTTGGGCTTGATTAATAAGCTCCGTTATCCTATATAAAATGGAAATTTCGGTAACATTTAGAGCTTTAGGTATGGTAATAAATACGGTTTAGTTCTGTTTGTGATTTTTTTTTGTAAAATTCCTGCCCGTTCACGACTCTGGGGCATCTCTATTCTGCCACCTGCTGCTGCCTGTCCTGCCTCCCGTTGACAGCCCAACTGACTTTGGTGTTGCTGTTTACCCGGTTTCTATAAAGCAAAAAGCAATTTGGTCCGCCAGCGAGCGTCTCTTCTTTGACAGCCTTTTGTGCTGTCTGTCTGCTGGATGTCCTGCTCGTCCTGCGTTTTCCCTTCGCCCCGAACAGGCCATTTTATGCTGTGCCCGTTAATGTTGTTGTTGCACCGCGGTGTTGACACCCCGCCGGCTTGGCACTTCAATTTTACAACGACAGCAGCAGCAGCAGCAGTAGGGGCAGCAGAAATATCACCAGAAACCCTCACCTGCCTAATGGCCTGTGCTGGCTCTTATAACCGGACATTGCCATCCATAACTCTGGTGGACACGCAGGCCGGGTACGAAATGCCTTTTTTCATTCATATTTTTAGTACATAATCTAAGCTATTAAAATTCAGTGCTGGAAATGACAGTGCGTATACGTAATGCGGCGAGATTGGCCAAAATTGGGTATTCAAAAGGCGGCCAGTAATTGCCGAGCTTAACGGCAAGCGAAAATTCGCAAAGAAAAATGCCCTTTTATGTGTCCAGAACACCAGAATTTTAAATGTAGCTCTCCCTCTGCTACCAAGTTAATCCTTTCGTTTGCTTTGAAATTTCTTAAGATTAAGCTTCCAGCGAAGGCTCTGAAACCGCATACAGCATCCATCATCCGCCAGCTGAACCACCCGTTCCAAAAACCGCATAGCGTTTGCTAATGATTGTGAGCCAGAAGTCTTCACCTCATCCTTAACCATGGCGAAAAAGCGTTTTGCCGGCGGCGAGCGCTTCACGCCAGTTCAGAAAACATAATATTCTTGAAGCGTGTGTGCGTGCCAGCGGCCTTGGTGGTAAACTTATTCCGAACGTAGCATAGTTTTCAACTCTGTGAAAGGCACCCAAAACTCGCACATTAATTAAAACGGCTAGCAAACACGAGGCGGAGCATCGGACTCATGGCCATCAATCAAAATGACAAAATAAAATGTTTGTTTTTCCGCTCGGGGGGCGGACTTCTGCAGATAATAATGTGCATTGACAAAGCCTCGTCAAGTATGCAAAGGCATTCGGATTCGACTGTTTGCAGCTGTCGAAAATGAAGAGACCATAAAATGTTGTAGCATGCGGGGACAAGGCGAATGAAATTTATTGCCCTGTTGTGATAAGCGTGACGCGCAATGCCAAGGGCCACGCCCTCCGAAAGGGGCGGGGATGAGCAGGACATTTTACAAGTGCCTGTAACATTTGATTTGTGTGTGTGTGTGTGTCAGCCAGAGAAAAAGGAGGCATTTTCGCCATGCGAACAGCTGACAACAGGTTAATGCGAACCAAGCGGTTGCGGGAAGTCGCTTTTTGTATAATGAGGCCAGATTGATGATCTATAATGGCTGAACTTGGGCTCAAGTTGCTCAGATTAAGTTGTTGGCCAAAATTGCACAAACTAAGATAAATGCCCGCTCAGAAATTAGTCGGTGCTATATCATATTTTTTCGGCTTGCCGAAATGTACTTTCTTTCTTGTTATTATTATTGTATAAAACGTTTAACACTGCCTTTGACATAAATTTTATTATCTTGTATAAACGATAAGCTATCGGGCAAAAGTAAATTGGGAACGGGAGACAAAATTGGATTCCCAAACAATGTAAATCTTATGGGGATCGTAAATTGGAATCAAGGTGTTTTATTTTTGTTTTCGTTTATTTAGAAATCATAATTTTATCGGAACAATAAATTTCCATAGTTATTGAAACAAATGGCGTATATATATTTACCAAGATATATTTAAACTATCTTTAATATTCACAAAAACATGAATGCATTTTTTTATACCCTTGGAGGGAGTATTATATTTTTTTCAGGCAGAAGTTTGCAACGCAGTGAAGAAGACATTTTCGACCTATAAAGTATATATATTCTTGATCAGCATCACTAGGAGAGTCGACCTAGTAGTGTCCGTCTCTCAGTTTTAAAGCTATCTGCGTGAAAATTTCTATTGCATGTATTACATAAGTCGGAACGAGCCGGATCGGACGACTATAGCATATAGCTCCCATAAAAACAGTCGGAAAAACAAATATAAAACATTTTAAAACTGCTGTTTTTAAATTTTTTTATGTTTTTCGACATATAGTATTGGTTAAATTTCATCAAAATCGGACGACTATAACATAAAGCTCCCATGGAAACAAAAAAAAAAAAATGTATTTCAGAATGTAACTTTTTATCATATAGCTGCCATAGGAACTATCGAATAATTAAGCTGCAAATCATCACAGCTTTAATGTTTTTAAACATATACGCAAGTAAATCATAATTTTAATGTTTTCGAAATAAACATAATTTTTGCAATAGCTGCGAGGGTATATGAGCTTCGGCTTGCCGAAGTTTGCTTCCTTTCTTGTTGTAATGTAAAGTTCAAGTGCATGTAAAGGTCCCAACAGGATAACTGATAACCTAGAAAAGCTGCTTGTCAGGGAAAAGTTAACGTTCAAGGTTCAATCAACTTTGTCCGGAATGTTTGCTCAATTTCGTGTCCAACCTGGCGTATGCTCGACATTGGCCCTCACCATGTTTCGTTCAGTCCGCCCGCCGCATCCCGCCAATCGCTTTAGGACCCTGTTTTGACATTTTTCCATTATGCTGTTTTCGGCTTTGTTTTTACCAGTTTTCGGACCGCGTTTTTGTGCTGGATTTTCATACCTTTGCAGCTGGTGCCCGAAATAAGCCTAAGAGGTAGAACATTTACCCAAAAAAAAGAAAATTCCACGAGGGTTCTACCAACTGCATTTTCATTACTTTTTCATACGTTTTTTTGGTACAATTATTTTGGTTCCTTTTGCCATTTTGCTGCCAAATCCAAAATATCCAGTTGGCTAGTTTGAAGGCTTAGATAAGGACTCTTGGAAATTAATGCGCGATTCTGTCTCTCAATGGGCATCTGTTTTTGGCAGCCAGCTTGGCTTTGCGATAAGGCTCGGATTGTGCGAGTGCCCATATTTAACCTCAGGTTTTTGGGTAAAAAAACGCATAAAAAGAAACAAAACCTCACGGACATGCATACATACATATATACTTCACGTTTGCTTCACGTGAATGTGGCTGCCTGTTTTTTCCCCTTTCAAGCGGCAAAAGTCGTTAAATAAAAATTATTTGCAAAAGAGCAGAAAGTGGCCAGGACTTTGCCTTAAGATACCCATGTTCCATTGAGCATTTTAGCTAACAACTTCGTCAGCTTGCCGTTTTAGAGGCTAGATACTAGCTTACAGTCGATCTGAACCTCCCTTGACAAAGTCCCCGATATTATCCAGCGGCAAAGTTCAAAGAGCGCAACATTCGATGGGAAATGGAAATAAATATAAAATTAGCAGCAATAATGGAGGGAGGTTCTCGCGGAGGTCGGCATGCAAACGCGTTTAAATAAGAAATTCAATTTGCTGGAGCAGAAACAGGCAAAGGGAAAAAGGCATGCCGCAAAAATTTGGTCGGTGAAAAATGTGTGCCTGTGGGTGTGTGCGGGTTTGATCTGGGGGCAGCGCTTTAATGTGTTTCGCTTTAAGCGCGGGAATTCCGTTGATTCGGGAAGGGACGAGGCTTTCTCAGGACTCACCACAATGCGCCTGACACGTGTCATTTTGCGGTAATCGCCCAGCTTGAGGCCTCGCTGGCGAACAATTTCCCGGGATTTGGATGAAGTGCGAGGCAAGGATATCGAAATTGGCGGCAGTAGCAAAAGTTTTTCTGCTCTTCTTATTGCCGCCTGTCAGTTGCAGTTGAAATCTCGCAATTAGCGACGGCAAGTGCAAGACTTCAGCCCAGCAGGATACTTTTAAGTACCTTTCCGAAAACCACAACACTTAGCTAACCGAGCTGGTAGTTTCTAATTACAGTTCACTTCACTTCAAGTTTCACCCGCGAAAAATTCATTAAAATTGTAAATGTCCTTAATTCAAAATAATCGTTTTCCTGAAGAAAAATTGAGTTTTTCGCCTTCTTCTTTCCTGCTCGTATTTTTCACGGCGCTTGGCCTGATTTCCTTTGCTGTCACCGCTGCGCCAAAAGTCTCAAACGAAACTGAACGCTGCCTCAGATTTGCAGGCAGATGAAATACCCCTGGAAATTCGTGTGGCCAGGCCAAGAGGAGCACTAAAACTGCGGCACAGAGCGCAACTGCCGCTCTCTGACTCTCTGGCTCTCTTGCCCGAGTCGTGCTCTCGACGCCACTCTCATGCGGCACTCACTGCGTATACGTAATACAAACCAGCTGTGAGCACAGTGGTATACAAAATGGCTGCTAATAAAAATTATACAAATATTTTCTTTATAAAAGAAAGCCTAATGGAAAACAATTAGAAATTTTCTGTTAATACCGAATTACAAACTACAGTCCAACTTTGTTTTGACGAATTCTGAAAGCTTTATTCCTTTTGTTTTGAAAACAAGTCTCCCCTTTCAGCCAAACTCAGTCCACTGTTTTCATATTTTTAGCACATATAGTTTTCTGCGAGTGTATAAGCGACGGCAAGAGAGCGTTTTTTTTTGGTTAGCCCTGAGAGAACGCGTTCAGAGAGTGCTCCCTTTGTGCTTAACAAAACTTGTATTTTCCCAAACAAATTGAAGAAGCAAAAAAGTAAGGCACGCGGCCAGCCTAGAACAGGAGTGTGGGATCGTGAACAGGAGGGGAACGGGAAGGGGAACGGGAAGGGGAAGGGGAAGGGGAACGGAACGGAAGAGCGGAAGGGATTCAGCTGGAGTGGAAGTTTCGGCTGCTGGAAGAGGGGGAGGGGAGGAGGCTAAGTGGGCGCCTTGTTTGTGTGTGTTTATTAGGATGTGTGTGTGAGCGTTTGTTTATCTGTTTGTTTTGTTACATTTTCTGTGTATTTCACCGTCTTTTGTGTGTGTTCTTGGAGCTGAGCGAAGCGGGCTAAAGTCGAAAAATTCAAAAATCAAGCACTGCAAACTTGTTGATGAAGGGCCCGGACCTGTGTGTGTGTGTGTGTGCGGGAAACTCTCAGCTCCGCTTTAAAACCAGGAGAGATAGTTTCCGTGTGTGGTTGGCTTTGGTTCAGCGCAGGAAGGTGGGCTATTTACATATGCCAAGGAACAACATGTTGATTTTACACGTGTTCAACTGGGGCACACAAGTGCACATGCTCACTATCCAAACGGAGGAAAGCTACTGCTGCTGATGCCTAGGAACTCCTCACGTGTGTAATTCAAAAACGTAATTAATTAACTGCCTGCTAATTGCACTTTAATTGCATAACGAGCGAGAGGGAGAGCAGAGATCAAAATCAGCAAAGAATTCCATTGCTTTCCCCCTTTTTTTTTGTTACCGGAAATTGTTCTGCTCGCAAATGGAGCACAGATTTCATCGGTTTAGGGTGGCTTTTAGGGGATGGGACTCTGCCTAATTTTAACAGGTTTTCTCAGTTGGGAGCGATTGAATTGAAGGAATGAAAAAGTTTGCTGTTTTTTAATTTTTTTTTTAGTTCTTCGACATATATTAAGGTTAAATATTTTAGAATTACGGTTTGAGTTTTATCAAAATGACATAAATCTCCCATGAGAACAATAAAAATATTACAAAACCATATTTAAAAAAAAAAAAATATTTTTTTATTTTGTAATTTCTTTTAAAATTATTTTGACTCATTAATAACTTTACAGTTCAAATTCGGAAAACGATATCGTATAGCTGTCATATGAATATAATCAATCGAATAATTGAGCTGCAAATATTCACAGCTTCAATATTTTTAAACATAAACGCAAGTAAATCATAATTTTAATGTTTTCAAGAATATTTAATTTTTGCAATTGCTGCAAGGGTATTCGAATTTCGGCTTGCCAAAGTTTGCTTCCTTTCTTGTTAAAATGTAACTTTCTACATCCGAAAAAATTTGATAAAACAATGTTTAAGTTAAATAAATTATTCTACACAACTGTCGTATGTTTTAAATTTAAAAAAATTTAGCAATTTGTTTAGTAAGTGCGTATTCAAGTAAAGTTAAGTTTTTCACAACAATGAAAACCCTTAAGTTAAATCAAATCAAAGTGAAAACTCACATGCGTGTTTTCTTAGCTTTGTTATTTGTTGCTATTGTTTTTATATGGTTGCAGTTTGCCGTTTAAAAGTTAGACACTTAAAACTTTCGCAATCTTTTTTTATGTGTATGCAGATTAAGTTTGAAAACGGACAAAATGTTAAATTTGGTTTTTTGTTTTTAATTTGAGTATAAAAATCTTTTTTTTTATTATGTTTTTATAGTGTTTGTAGAGGTTAGCTTCCCTCCTCGTTCGTTTCTTTTAAAGTCGAAAGTTACCCGATATTATTGCTGCTGCCCGACTTGATTTGCTGTTGTCTTTTGCTAAGACCGACAGTTCCGGCCAAGGAGCCGCCGCAGCGTGCCCAAGTGGCCCAAAAGGGGATTTCCCAGACCTTTCTGCCACGTGCAACCCGTTCTGCCATATGATCCCAACGGCCGCTCCTCGGTCCCTGCTTTGCCCAGAGCATTTCTAAAATTCATTTGGTATTTTTAGGCTTCCCTTTTCCAACTTTTCCATTGTTGGGGTTTCTTGTTTTGTTTAGGGTTTGATTGCTTTAAGTTTTGGTTTATGAATGATGGCCACAGCTCTGAGAAGACGGCACTGATATGTCTTTGATATGGGGGATTTCAGCTGGGATATTGGGGCCTGAAATTTGCATTTGAACTGGGCTCAATCTGGAAATCCGAGCCACTGTAGTCTGCCCTCAGGTTCGGCACATAATTAATTTCATAACTGTGCACATTTGGTGTAATTGGTGGATTTAAACCGTGAACTCTGGTTGCCCATTCAATTTTAATATTATGCTAGATTAGTTTCTCCGCTGAAATGTGCATAATAGTTCAGCATAATTTCATTTAGCATAGTTTGCATTTGAATGGCCTCGACTATTGCATTGATTTTCGTGCAAAATGAATCGAGGATATAAGCGGCTTTATGGGGAGTGCTCAACGCCAACGTCAATTGTCACCAAATTTATCGCAAGCTGTAGAGTCAACGGAGCGATTATAGCCTTTGGAAAATTAAATCCATTGTATATCCGATTAGGTTTTTTTTAATATATTTAAAATCTTAACTATAATCCCATTATGGTATTAATTATTTCTAAAGAAGTGGATCTGATTACAAATTAGGTAGGTTTTTTTTTTAATTCAAATTCATTTAATTGCTTAGAAAAAATTATTTTGTTAGATTTAACAATTGTGTAATTGCAAAATAAATACTCAATACATACAGAGTATTTCACAACAAATTTATCTAATGAATAGAAAACTTCTTTGCTGTGCAAAGACTTTTAATAAAGTACATTTTTATTAAAAAAAATGCAAGGCTTTAACTTATTTTTGAGAACAAAAAACTTAAAACTAAGTACACTTGTAGTTTTGTTACCTCATTTAGTTTGTATACGTTGCACTGACCTCAAAAAGGTATTTTTCTTTATACTCAAAATTATAACTACCAAGCAATCAAATTAAGAACAGAATTGTAGATAGAGCAATCTTCAAAATCTAATACTTACAGCTTCCGAATTTTAAGTTGGGAGGATTTCAGATTAAATATTATATAAGGGATTGTTTGTATATCACAGTATACATCAGAACTTTTGAGTTCCTATATTCGCATCATGAATACAAAAACTTTCAACTGTAAATTTAATTGCACATTTTTTTTATTTTAGAGGATGGTTATACTCAAATTGAATGATTTCCCTTATTTCGCTTAGAGAATCTTCTGATCAAGATTTATTCTTAAAATGATGAGTAAGAGTGCTTCGCTTCACGAAGAAACAATCAAATCGACTTTTTATTGCATGACTTTTATGTCAAGCTGCAGCACTATTTGCTGACAATCAACATTTTATGCGTTCCATTTTTTTCCGCTTTTATTTGCCATTCCAAAAGTGACTAACTGCCTAATCAAGAGCTAATCCAGCGGGTCCTTGCCTCCTCTTCTTCCACGAGTGAGCTCATAGTTGAAGCTATGGACCGACGCATAATAATTAGCTAGCAGCGTAATTTGCCGCAATTTATGCGCATACATTCAGAAAAGGACTATACCCTACGAGCTTATGCCTTTTGTTAAATTTATGCAGAACATTCTGCGATTATAAATGCTTAAACGATGGGAAAACTCGATGCAATTGTTTGACCAAAATTAGGCATCCGGTTTTAATTGTGGCCAAGCACAATGGATGGACAGGATGGTATCTATATCTATATAGAATCTGCCTTGAAAATTACTTCTTGTGTTAAGTGAATGTGGTCGTCGCCATTTAAAATGCAAATTAACTTTGCAGTCCAATGTCTGACAATGCCAACTCTTCCCCACCATGTGTGTATATATGTATATGTATATTTGAGAAAAATATATATATCAACACCACATGGCTGCCACAAAAACACACTCAGCTGCTGATTCTGCTGTCGAGTGGAAAATGCAATGTTCTTTTCTTCGCTCTCTCCTTCGCCCCTAAAGTTATGACCAATAAAAGCTTTGTTGTATCTAATTCTGTCTGGACAGAGCTGACTTGAAGTTTAATTGGTGGAGAGCACAAGATGCATTCTAAAAAATTTAACCAATAATGCCTTTATTTTAACTCTTTCCTGAACTTGATCATAATCCCTGAACTTGAAACTTAATAACCAGTGCAAACCGATTCAGATTCAATGTGAATCGCTTCTAGCTAGGCTTACACAATTTAAGGGGATTTTTGAACTAAGCTACTTCCTTCACCGCACAACGATTATTTATGTTTGTACGTGCATCAATGTTGCTGCAGCTGCCGCAGCCTGCAACCATTGTGGGAGGCAAAACAGAACACAGAGTCCTGAAAGTGGGGTTGCAAAGCAAATTTACATAAAGACATAAGCCAGAAAGCCAGGAAACGTGGTCGAGTCACGTTTATTGGCCACAGGCTGGTCACACAAGCAGCACAAATCATGCAAAATTAAATTCAAGAACAGAACCACGCCGCTAAATTGCATTTGATTATTGATCAAAAGTACATTTTTGTCAATTGTCTTGTCTGTCACGGAATGCAATC